CGGGCAGCCCCAGGCCGCTCCCTGGCGCCGGCGAAGCTGGGAGTCTCCCCCCCCCCCTTCTCTGGAACGTTGCAGCCCGCAGGGCGCTGGCCCACGTGCTGGGCGCGTCCCCCATCGGGAGGCTCCCAAGGGGCAGAGTCTGTGGCGGGGGGGGGGGGGGGGGGGTTGCAGGCAGATGTGCAGAGACCCAGACGGGCTCAGCTGGCTGCTCCTTTGGAGCATTTTTTCCCAATATTGCTTGAGTCACATTGTCACAATTGCTCAAACATCTGGCCTTCAGCGTTTCCAGTTGTTTCCCATTTAAAATGTCACAGTTGCGGCCTCACCAACTTTCTGGTGGGTCTAAAGATATTTGTGGGGTCTGTCGAAGCCCCGGCTCCTGGAAGCTTGGGAGGAGCGGAGACCCTCAGCTTGTGGTTTCTAGCTAAAGGGAGTCTCCCGATATCTTTTTTGCAGGGAAAAAAACTATTTTTTTCACCCCAGGGCAGTCTAAAGTGCAGAGATACCAAAGAACAAGTAAGAGATTAGCAATATCTACCAGCCCTTGTTATTAAAACTCATGATTTGGGAGGTCAGCCAGTCTTACAATATTTATATACCTGGTGTCAGCTGTATGGTGCCAGGGAGAATTCAGACCTTAATCCGTAGAGTGGAAGAACAGGGCTCTACTGTACCCTCTCTCCCAGCATTTGTAATGACTTCAAGTGATACATTTCTATCACTATTCCAAGTGATAGGACATCTCATATTACATACACACTACTGCTAGCAACATTCGGGGGCTATGTCCATACTGCATCCCTCGTCCGCAAAAGCCTATGCAAATGAAGTGTGGATTAGCATATTGCTATGCTTCATTTGCATAATTAATTAGTTTTTTTTGTGCACTTCATTTGCATAATTAATTAGGAGCCACTTTTGTGCAAACACCCTCTCTTGTACAAGAGCAGTTCTTCCTTATTTTTTCAGGAAGAACGGCTCTTGCGCAAAAACCTCTCCTAATTAATTATGCAAATGAAGCGCGGCAATATGCTAACCCATGCTTCATTTGCATAGGACTTTGTGGGAGGGAAGCTGTGTAGATATAGCCACAGATTCTCACAGCTCCCCCGCCATAGGGCAGGTAAGGAAGGATTGTTACACCCAATTGACTGGGAGAAACCAAGGCTGAGAAAAGCAAAGGGCCTTATCTGACGTCACACAGCCAGTCAGGGGCAGCGCTAGGAACAGGACCCAGAAGTCCTGACTTTCAAACTCACCATCAGTCTGGAGTTTCACACCCTGACTGATTAGAATAAAGTGACATCAAATGAGCTGCAGGGAGAAAAAGCAAGGAGGCTGGAGGAGAGGAGTGAGGGAAGGGGGAAGACCCTCTCCTCCCAGAAGGTGCAGGGATAAGAAAGGCTTTATCTACACTGGCAGGTTCTTATGCAAGAATGGCTGTTCTTCTGCAGAGCATCCACACTGCCTGCCTGCCTGCTCTTGTGCAAGAAGTCTATGTCTACACTGCTTTTGCAGAAGAAGGCAGTGTTGACGTGCAGCAGGGTTTTTTGCATGAGAAAGCTCTATGGCTAAAATGGCCATCAGAAGCTTCTTGCGCAAGAAAGTGTCCACACTGCCATGGGCACTCTTGCGCAAAAGCACAGCTTGCATATGGCAGTGTGGATGTGCTCTTGCACAAGACTTCTTGTGCAAAAAGCTGCCACTGTAGACATAGCTGAA